CCTTGGATGGCTGGAATCTGAAATGTCATCTGTTTCCACATAAAATTCTTTGTTTTGCACTGATCTGACGTATCAGCCCAATTGCTACAGTCAGATAGGAATCGAGATGGTTTCTCAGGTACCATGCCCTAAGAAAAGGTCGAAGTGGAAAAAAAAGAAAAGCCACCGGATAAGATGGGCACCGTGCTCTCCGGTCCTGCCGATGATCCTCATGAAGTAGAGGTCTGAGTGGCAGCACCGCGTAAACGTGTACCTATGTATATAAGTGTATATTTTTATACAAAGTATTTACCTCAAAAAGAGGTATATAAAGAGGAAGAAAGAAGATATGTAATCAAGATGGTAACGGTTTCCCTTGCATGAATGTTATATGCTCCATTTATGGAGCCTATAGCGCAGTGCTTATCTTCAATTTTACTATCAGCCTTGAGAGCCTTATGTTAAAGAGTTTATCTACAGCAAATTTTTTTCGTGAAAAGTATAGCTCAGAGCCTCCCGTTTATCTTTGCCGACAAAATAGTACCGGTACGTTTATCTAGAAAAAGTGAAAGGCAAGTAATCTGTTCGGAACTTGAATTCGCAGTCTTCCGGTCTCTGAGTCCAACGTTTCAGTTGACTGTTTCAGTTTATTGACTTGCCTGACCCTTCTTTGTAATTAACGGCTATCACCCTTCCTAGTCTCGTTGTCAACAATCTTTCTATCTCCGCTACTGTATTCTATACCTCTAGTATCTTTTGTCGTCCCATTTGAGCCGTAGTCTTTCAACTGGTCGCTTGTAGCCCTTGGATACTAATCCATCACGGCTGAAGTTCGTCGGTGATCAGTCGATCGTGCCATGTAATTCACCGTAGTGTGATTCAAACAGCAGGCAGTGGACTGAAAGCCATTTGGGTTTGTGTTCAATTTCGTTCGGTCGTGACAAACGGTATTTGGTACTTCAATGCTTCTAAGCGTCTTTAAGAGAACGTCTGTTTGCCCGTTACCCCTTTTCGAATGTGCTCCAGATGGCAGCTTTATGAGGCTGGCTACTCAGAGTTTTCCTTCATGAGCTCGGACACGGTCACCTCTTATCCTCTGTAGATCGGTGCCTCATCTTGCGTACGATTCCGGTTACGTAGTGATGTATTTCACCATAATGACCTATGCCAGGTCGGTTTAAATCTGGGATCTGTATTAAAGAATTTTCTCTTCTATCTTATGCTAATATTTGTGCATTAAATTAGAGAGGAGGTATCCTCTTTTTGTAATGAAGATGCACTGTGGAGCGAGCTTTCGGTACAACCGGATTCAAAGAATGTATTTAGGTTTTTTTGGTTCAAACGAAATGCAGGTTGAAGGCCGACGGATCATTACGACTGTAGATCTGGAAGAATTATCGCCTGATTCCTCCACTGAAGATGAAAACTCGTCCGATGACTTTTCATTTACCAAAAAGACCAAAAAACGTAAAAGGTCTCGAAGAAAAACTTTGGCTAAAAAGACCGCCGAAAAGGAGTTGCAGCTAAAGACCACGGGATACCGCGTAAGTGTAATAAATTGCCTGTTAGTAAATTACAAGGTCGTGACCACAGAGAAAATCCACATAACGAGGTAGATTTTTTTCTACTAGTCAGATTGGGTGAGTCAACGCTCATAGACAGCGTACTTCATGGCGGCATCAAGTAGGTAACCGGGTTATTTATTACTTTATTATTCTACTCCTAAGGCAGCTAGCTATAACCAGATCTTCTTCGAACGGCTACAAGTTCGCTTCGATGCGGATGCGAAAGCTTGATTCCTCGCTGTACGACGATGAACA